CCCAATTTTAAATGGGTGGTTACTGCCATGGTTCTTGTTCAATTTGCCTCGATGTTTGTTGTCAAGGATTTAAGCTATCCAATGTTATTCATCATGGCTTATTCTTTTGGAGGAGTTATCAATCATTCCCTCATGCTAGGTAATTCAATACAAGCAGTTTTAATTAATAGGAATATTTTTATCTGTTTTGAAAATATTATTCGTATAATAATCGCACATTCTATTTCATTTCATCATTCATTATTCTCTCGGATTCTGAATATTCGCTGAGTTTTATGTTTGATTTTTTTTTGAAGAAGAACTATTTATATACCATTTTATTATCAGCTCTTACAGTATCAGAGTAACAAGCGTTCCTGAATGTTTCGATGAATAATTCAAATGAAATTTTACCCATCTTTATTCATTTTTGCGAGTCTGTTTTACAGGAGTTAAAGTAGAATAGTCATTGAATTAGTTTCGATCCCGTAATATCATGGAATAGTAATATCCCTTTTTCTTTTAACCTTTTTTTGGAACAATAATGATAATTATTCATTTGTACACCTGAATTACAAATGGAAATAATATTTTCTATTTCATTTGAGCAGAATAATATATGGAACCGTTGAATTGATGAAGGGGATGAATAATCAACAGGCTTCACAACATATTTATTTTGGATTTTATGACTCACATCGTTGTACAAGGTTTTCATTGTATGTCACGATGAATAGAATTAAGATATCAGCTTTCATTCTCTTTATGTAATCAATACCAGGAAGAAAAGAAAAGCATTTACTTTGAATTCATAAAATAGAATGATTTTCAGCGATTCATTAATTAATTCATAAACTCATTAATTCACATTAATGTAATTCATACCAATTAGGTTAAAATTAATTGAACGCTGTGGATTGTTATTTTTTTGTAGCTGTTCATGAAATTGCTCATAATCTCGCTTTTGGTCACTCCAGACCGATGGCCAATAGATGGTTTGGATTTTTTGCTAATCTACCCATTGGTCTGCCAATATCTGTAAGCTTCAAGAAATATCACTTGGAGCACCATCGAGTATGTTTTTTTTTTCTAACTCCTCGTCACTATCAGTGATATCTACTAAATGATAAATGTTTATGTGCAGTATCAGGGAGACGAATATCTTGACACTGACTTGCCAACACTGCTCGAGGCAAAATTATTCTGCACGACATTTGGAAAGTTTTGCTGGGTCATTTTACAGCCATTTTTCTACTCATTCAGGCCACTCGTAACTTATCCAAAGCCGCCAGTTCGTTTAGAATATATTAATTTGATAATTCAACTCGCGTTTGACGCTCTCGTGTGGTACTTTTTTGGTGAGGAAACAGTTATTTCCCCATTGCGTTTATTGCTCATGTATAGACATATGTATTTCATGAATGAGTCATCCGCGAATTTCGCTGTTTTTTCAGGGGGAAAAGTATTACTCTACTTTATATTAGGTGGAGTCATGGCGATGGGACTTCATCCAGTCGCTGGCCATTTTATTTCTGAACACTACATGTACAAGAAGGGATATGAAACGTACAGCTATTATGGGCCATTAAATTATATTACGTTCAATGTCGGTTATCACAATGAGCATCATGATTTTCCAGCTGTGCCAGGTTCTAGATTACCAGAGGTAAAATTAATAATGAATTAATAAATTTGATAAGCTCATTAATTCAATCATCAATTTATAGGTCAGACGAATCGCCTCCGAATACTATGATAACTTGCCGCATCACGACTCCTGGACAGCAGTAATTTACGACTTCATTATGGACCCAGCAATAGGACCCTACGCTCGTATGAAACGCAAACACAGGGGTTTGACATCGTAAGCTCAACTAAAATCCATTTTATACCTCATTATCTATTTTTTTGTCGAATTTTACTGCGCAAAATTTGATAAACACGACAAACTTCCGCGATTAACTAATCATACGTCATACGCACCCCTTTGCCCAGTCATAAGTATTGAGTTTCCAAGGTTAATCGATATCAGTGAGTATTATGCCAATGTTAACTTGTCTTCTAATTGCCACGCAGTGATGTGTCAATTGTAATAATTTTTGCCAATTTTTTTGCTTACACCTGTCTATTTACTCTGCTAATTGTCAAATAATACAAACACTTCTCAGGAATACTCGTAATGTAAACAAAATATGGTGACAAAAATCACTTTTTTTGTGATAGCAAAGCGATATATTTGCACATTTACTCTAATTAATTTCACAGCATAAATTTATTTTTGTAAATATTCAATGATGTTTTCTCAGTGGAGTCCGAATGTTTGAATCGAAAAATGTACATTTTTATTCATGATATAATAAAAGCATGATCATTGACTATAAAGCCGTTTTCTTTTTGTCATAGTATTTATACTCAATTTATGAAGAGGATATTTTGTCAGTGAAAAAAAAACTTGTTTATATTTTAAATAAACAATAATTGTGCATTTATTCATTATAAGTAATATATTACATTTCCATATTACATTATTTTCTTGCATACTTAGTTTCTTATACAGCTTTGTTCGAAATGCTTTTGGCAAAAAATAAGAACAAAGCAAAAAAATACATACAACTACTCGAATTAATAAAGCTTTTTCAGTCTGTGGTATGTTCTGTAATTGTGAAGACCTTTGGAGTTTCTAAAGATATTTGTGAATTCAATCAACTTCCTCAATGGTCGGGCCGGAGCCATTGCCTCCCTGAGGTTGTTGTGCACCACAACCTTGCGGTGGGCATCCAGACCCCTGATGAAGCTTCGTCATGATGGGTGAACAGATCTTCTGCATCTCCTGCAGTTTGTCATTGTACTCGTCCTTCTCTGCCAGTGTATTATTGTCCAGCCACTGAATGGCCTCATCACAGAGCTGTAGAGTCCTGTCTTTCTCCTCCTGATTCAGCTTGGCTCCCTGCTCCTGGACCGCCTGCTTTACTGAGAAAACATATGTCTC